AAAAAAAAAAAAACAGGGGAGAAATTGCAGAAAAAATGTTGTTGAAGAAATAATTACAAGTGATTTGTACCAAAAAAAGAAAAACGGAATAGAATGATGGAAAAAATTTTTATAAAAAAAATAACAACAACAAACGGCAATGACATCAAAATACTAAACATAGAATCTTGGCTTTGCACCCTTACGGTATCGGCCTATTCGATGTCCACAGTTTGGACAAATATGTACATAATCGGCAAAACAAGGCAAAAAACAGGCGATTGGTACACACGGCCATAGGAATAATATAATGAAGATGAATGCCAACAGATAGGCGAACCATCCCATCACTGGATAAGTCCTAGTTTCCACCAGGTTCTGAAACAATTTCTGTGGTCGTTAATGTGCTTCAAATAAATGTTGCTGATCGTTGTTTTCATTCAGCTCTGTATACTTTTGAAGCTTAAATCTATAACTGTTAAACGATGTGTTTATGTGAAAATCAGATAAGCAACGACAATAGCAGTAATAAATCTGGTGCCGTTCAAGAAATGAACCTATTAGGGCTTAATTAACAGACAATAAAATCGTACTTACCCTACATCTGCTACAGAAAACCCGTACACTTTTTGTGTGAAAATTTAAATTTGTTTGAATTAATTTTTGATGATGCATTTTCATCAGACTTGTTTGCTTTATCGTCGCCTTCAGATCTCCTTCAGACCGATCTTGCACCTAAAAGGCGTCAAATTTTACAGATACTCGATCTGGTATTAATTTCGCTCACTGGTGTCTTTCTTTTGTTTTTTTCTTTCTTTTCTTTCTCCTTGCACAATCAAATTTTACGTCTTCATGAGCAGAAGAAAAAAGTTTTTTATTTCAATTTGTAAAATTGACAGATGTTTATACTTTTTTTTTTAATTGAAAAAATTCTTTCTTTTTAATGCCAGTCATTGATACAAAAAAATTGATATAAATGATGGAAATGAAAAAGTTAAAAAGTAAGCAATTATGTATCAAAATGGAGGAAAAAAGAAAGCAGATAAAAGCCCAAATTAAGTGGTCCATTTACTTGTTGATTATTGCAGGCACTTTCAATTGAAATTGTTGATAATGAGGTAATTTTACGATCTTCGGTAATAAATCGCCATTTTTTAGCGTATTTTTGTGCTAAACTTTTCCGTTTTCTGAAAACAGGGAAAGCAGAAGATGAAAAAGCAAAAAATAGTCATAAGA